ACAGGGGAAAATCCCCTGTCAAGGCCAAAAATCCCCTACCGGGGATTTTAGCGTCACGATAGGGCCCCCTTCTGTTTCTCAGAGAAGCCCAAAACCAATTTTCCCCTATCTTTGATTCTTCGTTTCTCCCTCGTTCGGACTCCAAATCAGGTGCCGTTTGATCTCAGACACTCGTAGTCTCGTCCTCTTTCTTCTCATGACAAGATTACATGATTATATGGTCACAAACTGAGGTAGAAATCCATTCTTCTTCAAGTCATACCCGAGTTTCTTCCCCCGAGTCGCCAATTGATATCCGATTGCTTGAAACTTGCGCAAACGCTTCACTTTATGTGCTAGGACCTGAAATGTGACAAAGGAACACAAACTAGCGTAAAATAGGCCAAAGAAGCGATAATGAAAGCTTAAACGATCAAGAAACAAAGGGGAAATCATGTGCAAATATCGAGTCATCAACCTCTAATGTTCCAAGCTAGTAGATTCATTTCTTACCTTTTCCTCAACCACCCCCTCAGCCCCTTTCTTTTTGACCAGGGAATGAAAACTCTTGTCCATTGGTAAATCTGGTGGATCCAGCTCTGCTTGAGCTACCTGACTTGAAGAGCTCCTAGCACAGCAGGCTGCTGACTCCGCAAGCTTAGGTGGTTGCAAAGAGGTTCGAGAGCTCCCTATGTGACCAGATGACCCACGAACCACTTCTACAAAAATCATAACAACACCCATTGAAAGAAGTACCGGATCCCCCACTGCCAAATTTGGCTCAAGATTGCCAAGAACACCAAACACATTCGTGCTGCTGACATCCCCTGCATCATCTAAGACACACTTGGCAGCCTCCTCACCCTTCCAAGCAATCACAACAGTATTTGTCGTAGCCCTACGTACTGCATCCTCCTTATCCCTAGAAACACACCTCTAGTTTGCATCATTCTTCACCTTAGGCACCCAAACTTTCCCATCAGGACGAGTATTATCGTAGTTATGCCCAAATACCTTACACTTTGAACAAACAGGAGGAAGATGACTATACTCAACATTAACCTCAAGCCCTGTTTCCTCATCTGGGTAAAAATGAACCGAGCTAGGAAGCTGAAGTTCGCGCTCATCTCTCGATAAGCTCGGGGAAACCCCAAGCTGTGCACCCACACGAGTAGACCGATCCATGTGAAGTGGCACCCCTACCATGCTCGCAACCCATTCCAATCCATCAAGGGAGTTGTACTCAAGAGTTAAACCACTGAAATGAACCCAAATAGGGAGGGTTTCTATCTTTGGTTTGACAAGCTAGATACCCAGACTCCATTGATGAAAGAAAACTGGTTCCCTTGAAAGTGCCAAGGTCCCGATTGAAAGACCACTGACTCGTGTCCAACGATGGGAAATGAAACACCAAAAGCCGCGATCCAAATCTAGAGACCCGAATCGACCCATCTCTTCCCCACAAGTGATTTTCCCAGCTCTGGAGCTCTAGGATGCGAGGAATCTCACCCAAAAATTTCCCAATTAGACTGTTCTTCAAGCGAATCGCCCCCTTCTCTTTTACCTCCTTCAGAATACTAAAACCATCATTGACGCATTCCGGAGGGCGATAACAAAGTCAATTTTCTAGCACAACAGCAAGCAACTGGGCCCAACAACTTCCCTCACAGGCATGCCTAGACACCGACCGCCAAAGCTGACAAAAACCTAGCTCAGAGAAAAGGAAGAGAGAGAAAAGAAGAGAGAGAAAAGAAGAGAGAGCATCTCGTATTAAGGCCTCGTTCGCTTTATGGATTTGGTTCGTAAAAACTAAGCATCATGAACTTTGTACACAATTTGTTGTTTGCTTGATGGATTTAGCAGGAATAAATCTGTGGAGGCCCACGGACTTTGAGACTCCAAATTCGTGGATCCCACGGACTTGAGAATTCCACCCCCAAGAGGTGGAATTTGTGTTGGGGTCGATCATTTGCTTCTCAAAGAGGTCGATCATTTGCTGTAAAAGGTCAACCGCGTCGTTGAGCCTCACAAAACTGAAACAACAGATTAAGTCGACCTAATCCTATCTAAGGTCGACCTAAAAGTGCAAGTTACGGTGACTTGCAAGTTGCAAGTCACCGTAGCAAAGTCCAAAAAAAAATAATACTCAATAAGGGCACCAAGGTAAATTCGTAATGAAATCCAACAAACTAAAGATGGTTTGTACCAAAAAGGACAATTCCATCATATATCCATAGTTTTGCAAAATCTAGTTGTTAATCCAAATCTTCATTTTTCAAATTCACGAAGCAAACGAAACCTTAATGTTTTGAAATAATTTCTCATTATTATTATTATATAATTAATGGCGCAATTAACCAAAATTTTGGTTAATGTTCCTCACGAAATAATAGCATATCCTGGAAAAATTCCTCCCCGGATTATTGTTCACTACAGCTATGATTAGCTGTGGCCGCATCCACCCAAAATTCCGAATAAAACTAATATACCCTGTTGCTTCTTCTTGCATCACTTTGTTACCATCCTTTATTATCAGTTTATCACAACCATCAAGTTCATATACCATGCAAAGTTTATATAGGTAAATGTCTCCTCCCTCAAAATCCCTAATACCTTATAGCAATGTTTACAAATTATAGCAATGTTTACAAAATTATAAACATACCCGTGGTTCAACTGAAAAAAAATGTCCAAACCGATAGGTAATTTTAATGATTGAACCATAGTTAGATCATGATTTCAAAATAAATTATCCGATATTGCGCCTAGTATGATCTTAAAATCTTAAATTTGTAGAAGGATATATATATATACACATATATTTTTGGACCTGCATGTCTTTTGTTAATTAATGAAACTCAGGAGAATACAAGTATACAACCCACTATATTTGTCAGAAGAAACAATATATAATAATTTTAAAGGTGGACTATCTGCCCAAGGAATGGGATACTGTGACATCCCTCAAGGGGTTGTGAATTTCGCTATCCATATCTTAACCTTCTATTTCATTCTCTTTCTTTCTATTTTTCAAATTAACGGTACATATTGGATTTAAGGGTATTTTTGGACGAAAAAATTTACCACATTAGATTATTACCCCTATTAATTACCCAAAATCCTAATGAACTCTATTTCCCCTCTCTCTGCCGCCATCACCAACAATTCTCTCTTCTTCTTCCTCCCATCTCTTCCCCTCTCTCTCTCTCTCTCTTCCGCCAACACCGTCGGAGTCCTCCCGCTGACCCGTTGTGCCCTCCGCCTCTCACCACCGCATCGCCACAGCCCTGCGCCGCAGCTCTCCCACCGCCTCGTCGTGCCCTCCGCCTCCCACCATTGCCGCAACCTTCTCGCCGCAACCCTCTTGTCGCCCTCCCACCACCGCTGCATCGCCATCCCTCCGACGGTGGAGACGCTGCCTTTGCCTCCCACCACCACTGCCACGAGGTCCCTACGCGATGTCACAAACTCTGCCTTTCCTCATCCCTTTTCTTTTTCAGATCTGGTTTTTTATTTTAATTTAGACTAGTGGTACTGATTTTCACCTGGTAGCGTACCACTAGCATCTGGTAGTTGCTAGTGGTACTACCATATGGTAGTACCCATATCTTAGTGGTAGCGTACCACTATCGTTTGGTACCACTACCATCTGGTAGACGCTAACGGTACGCTGCCACTGCTCACTGGTACGTACCAATGACTAGTGGTATCGTACCAGTGACTAGTGGTAGCGTACCAGTACTCACTGGTACGATACCTTTGGTAGTTTTTACGTACCACTAGACAAAAATCATTACCATTAGCGCATTGACGGAGTAGTACTTTTTTGTAGGTTCCCGGAGCGAGTATGATTAAAGGATTTCACCGGAGAAGGTCTGTCGGTCGGAGAAAATCAGCCGGTCGGAGAAAATCAGTCGGTCGGAGTCAGTGGCTACTGGAATAGGAAGAGAGAGATAGGAAGAGAGAGAAATATATTTGTGATAGGATTTAAATTTTAAATTAAAACAATGTATTTAATATGTGTTTTAATTTCCCAAAATGTAATTAATATAAAAAGAAAAGTAATTAATAAGATTCTTTTTTCACTACCCAAATTGCCCTTGGTTGTCAAACTCACAACCCTCTTGAGGGATGTCACCGTATCTCATCCCTCAGAGACTAATTCCATGGACCAGTTAGATGTGCTAATTCATGGGTTGTTTGGTTTGCTTTCCTAGTGACAATAAACCCACTTAATCACCTCGTCATTTGAAGGATAGATATTTTTTATGTATTCTTAAATAGCGAGCAACCAGAGCTATTACCCACTCGATAAAAAAAGTTCTAGTAATGAAAGTTGGAAATCCATTAGAAAATATAAAAGACGTATGTAGGATGAAATGGTGGTTGTTGCTATTTGCTCCAATAACGAATAATTGACATTGGTTTAATAGAATAACTAAATAAAATAGACAGACCCTTCTTTTTGTCTCGGGTTGATGGATCTTCTCAATTGAAAGATCCCTATATGGATAATACATATTTCAATTGACCTAATCATAAGTAATGTATGGTCTAATTATAAAATCAAAGTTTTGTGTTCATCCCTCATAATATAATTTTGAATGAACCAAATTTATTTATTATTAATTAAACTATTCACTATCTCATCAATTTGTTCTACACAAAGGTTCTGCAATATCAGTTATTTTTATACATAATATTTTAATAAAATTTGATATTTTTGTAGCTTAATTACTTTGTTATTAACTAAAACTCATGTATAATAATAATAAAATATCTATAAAATGTGATATTTTCCCTTCAAGCTGGTTTCTAACATCGAAAGGTCTCTGCAACTACAAGTCGAAAGCTGTTGACCCATCTTATTTCTATGGATCTCTCAACACTATTTGATGCAAGGGTAAAAAGTCCAACAGCAAACAGTAAGACAAATTCATTCCGTGATGCAGGGAGAATCTCTACTTAGGGGTCGTTTGCTTGTGGGATTTGGGTGATGGATTTGGAACCCAAATCCCAAGCATCATGGAGTTGACACAAATCGTTTGTTTGTTGAGGGACACAAATCCGTGGGGTCCACGAATTTGGACTCCTTTTTGGAGTCCAAATCCGTGGACCCCACGGATTTGTAAATCCCACATTTCATTTGGGATTTGACAATAGAAGGAAAAAATGTGAGACAAATCCATCACAAATCCATGATAAAAAATCAACTAAACAAACAATGTACTCTTCCAAATCCATGATGCAAGAAATCCATCATAAATCCAAAGGTTTTTAAAACTCAAAACCTTCATTTTCAAATCCAACAAGCAAACGAGCCCTTAGTTTCAGAAGTACTTCCTTTGTCAAGGTTTGAGGAACCCATTCTATCATATGTTGTCTTGGCTTTTGTTTAAAATATGTTCCGAGTTTCCCAGTTCCTTTAACTTCAGCAGTTCAGACTGCAAATAATCCATGGTGACCCGCCAGTTACATGATGAGAATGAGGGAATTGATTTAGCTCTATCGCATACGACCACAAAAAACAAAAAATGGGCACCACTTTGAACCTACCTATCTACAACTCAATAATCCCTTGCCAATCCACAGTTGAAACCAGAAAGACCTCATCTTGGATGGAAAGAGCTGTTATCAACAGTGGCTACTGATTCAGAAAGGCCAATATTGAGGGGGAAACGTGGGTCCTCGCAACCATTCCCAATTTCCATGGTCTTCTCGTCAATGAACGGTGGGTTTGTTGGGGAAGGCAGCTGCTCTTCAGTGGTTAGCATCTGCAGAATCTTGGACATGGATGGTCTGAGAGATGGACTCTCCTGGGTGCACAGCAGTGCAACATGAACAACTCTCAACACATCATTCCTGGCGTTGCTGTTGTGGTGGTTGTGCAACATTAGGTTTGGATCGTACATTTCTTCCACACTTCCTGCTTGGAACTGCCTCCACATCTGAAAAAAGTTGGTCACATTCATTCAGGATAACCAACCACATCATTGTCTCTTGAAACTGTAACATACAGGATTCAGGCTCTTGAATGACAAAAACCTACCCAAGTTACTAAGCTGTCAGTATATTCAGCGTTTTTGCTTCTGTTGTTCTGCTTCCCTGTAACAATCTCAAGCAGCAGCACTCCGAAACTGTAGACATCTGCTTTTTCTGTCAATTGACCGTGTGCCAGATATTCGGGAGCCATGTATCCCCTGAAAAGGAAAGAGCCAGAAACACGTTCAATTTTGTGACTCTGTTTAGAGATTGTAAATGCTGAGGGGAAATCACTTACAGAGTTCCTGCAATGGCTGTGCTTATATGGCTCTTATCCTCTTGGAAAGATCTAGCCAAGCCGAAATCGGCAATCTTAGCTCGAAGTCTGGAATCCAAGAGAATGTTGCTCGCCTTAATGTCCCTGTGAATGATCCTGATCTTGGAATTCTCATGAAGATACACTAGACCTTCTGCTGTTCCCACAATCACCTCGTACCTCCTGTCCCAGTTCATTGCCTTGGCCTTGTTCACGTCTGTCACATTTTCAAAGTTTTGGCAAAACATCACATCGTCAATCGAGACCGATGTAACCCAACGGTTCTCCCTCCCTCATTTATCAATCTATTTCAAGCTTACCAAAGATGAAGCGATCAAGGCTCTTGTTGGGAAGGTATTCATAGACAAGTAGGCTTTCGGGCCCTGAACAGCTGCAACCCAACAACCTGACGAGGTTCTTGTGTTCCACGCTGCTTATCATGTTGACTTCGTTGAAGAAATCTCCTATTCTGTGCTTGTTGTTGAAGAAAAGCCTCTTCACAGCTATCTCTCTTCCATCAGCCAAAACTCCCTGCAGAGTTTTTGACATAGTTAAGATCTGGTATCTAAAAACCCTACTATGAAATCATATTATGCTTGCCAAGACCGAGAGAGAGAGAGAGAGAGAGAGAGAGAGAGAGAGAGAGAGAGAGAGAGAGAGAGAGAGAGAGAGAGAGAGAGAGAGAGAGAGAGGATCAAGGAAGAAGGGGATGAAATGCCGTATCACCTTGTAAACTGAGCCAAACCCTCCCTGTCCAAGCTTGTTGGCTTCATCAAAACATCCTGTGGCTTTTTCAAGAGTGGAGTACTTGAAATTCAAACTGCTGTCATTCAGGGTCTTCACCATTTTCTGCACATCCTGAGAACCTGAAGCAACAAAGGCAAATCATGAATCCTGAAGCATTCATATCCACAAATAAAAAATAACTTGTTAAATCAAAGAGAAATCCCATTGTTAATATTTTTACCTCTTCGTTTCTTCTCTATGTATCTGTGCTTCCATATATAACCCCCAATAGCTCCACCAACAATCAACACCAGAATACAGCTTACAACTGAAACCACTATCACAATCACCGGAACTGCTGCAAAATGGAAAAGAAAAGACAGCAGCATGAACTCTTTCCAGTTTCCACTCGGGTCTCCATAATTTCACAGAACAGAAAAAACTACACAAGTGCCCATTTTTTCCAAAGAAAGGAACAAACCCAAAAAAAAAAAGCAACTCTCACCTCCAGAACTGCCAGTTCCTGCAACCTCACCGTTGAGAAAATCTCTATCAGAATACCTCATAAAACACCCGGTATGCAGCGCCCTCGCTTCGGACCTGGGCAAGCAACCCATCATAGAATCCGAAGCATTCTCCAAGCACAACCGGCAGTCGCTCGAATTCAATGTCCTCCAGCAATTCGCCAGCACAAAAACCGACGAATTAGTCCCCACAATATCCAGCTGACCCCTGGAGAACCCATTACTAGCCGGAGCATCAGCCACCGCCTGCGAGAGAGCCCGTCTCACCGAATCCTGGAACAACGAGGAGTTGTTGTTCCCAATTGGCGACGTGGCATTCCCGCAGACGGCCCTGTCCTGAGGCCCCGTGTGCTCGTGGTAGAAGCTGTAGTTCTCGGCCCTCATGAAACAGCCGTCGAGAAAGATGCGGCCGCCGTTGAAAGGGTAGCACTGGGGCAGAATGGTGCGGGCCTCGGCGTAGCAGAGCACGCAGTCCAGCAGAGAGAGGTCGCCGTAGCACTGGGCCAGGCCGTAGTTGATGTCGGGTCCTGAACCGGCTACGGCTACCCCGAAACCGGAGGTTCTCATCTGCTCGCTGATGTTCTCCATGGTGGCCACGAAATTGGGGACGAAGATTGCTGGGTTTGCCTCCATTTGGTTCCCGCAGGTGACATTTACCGTTTGAGCTCTGGGATCGCCAGTTGCAGTTTGTGGTTGGGACGCTGCCAGGATTCCCAATAGAGCGAGGAAGATGAGCTGATTGGGGAACTTGGGTACTGATTCACTGCTGCTCATCGTTACTTATTATTAGTCTTGTTGAGAATATCTGGTACAAGTGCAAGTGGGTAATGGAGTCTCAGAAGTTGCAAGATCAATGTTTGGGATTCAATGGAGAAGCTGGGGAGTCCTTGTCAATGGAGGTAGTTGGAAAAATTGAAAGTTTTAGCACCGTCATTACTACGGGTAGGCACAAATGACTGGTTTGGTTATTCGGTAGCACCAAAAAGTCAAGAAGGAAAATAAATCATTTTTGTTTGTTTGTTTGCGGTGGGGTTTTTTGTTTGTTTTGGGTTTTAGCTGGCGCTTGGAGAAGAACCATGTGACAAACGCACCCCAGCTCAGCTGCCATTGTTATCAAGTTCTCAATCAGAGGTTTCACACCACACGAAAAGGCCGTTTCGCCATGTTTTACACTTATTTGGCTGGCTCCAACCTGAATTCAGCATAAGGGTTAAACTAAGGATCCGTTGCAAAGATGGTAAAAAGAAAATCTTCAAAAGGATGAGCAAGATCGTTTTTTGTTTGTTTTGGTTGGGATTGAAAGCCACTGCTTCTCAATTGAAAAAGGATTTGGAGGGGTGAAGCAAACTGAAGATTGAGTTGTAGGTCCACTGCTTCTCAATCGACAAAAACAAAGAATTCATGTCTGGGTTTGGTTCAATTTCCCGAACACTCATGACTCAACATAACAGCAAAAGAGATGATCAAAGTTCGTACCTCTTAACAATCCACTTGGCGTGAAAGCAGATCAACGCCGCCGCCGCAGAAGAAGAAAAGTATATCCTCTGTTTTTCTCTGATCCTGAGCAGAGTGGACAGGGTTCTTCGTCTGCAGATGCTACGAACTGTATTATCTGAAACGTATTAGAGAAAGGAACTTTGATTTAGAATTGGAAGAGGAGTGGGTGGGTAGAGAGAGAGAGAGTCAAAGTGAAGACAGTTCATTCATAATCATGGTGGGGAGCGAAGACTTCTGTGCGTTGTCCGTTGAATTCGAAAGGGTCGAACAAAGACTAAAAGAGACGAGCAGCAGCAATCGGCCTTGGCGGCGACCAAAGTCGTCAGAGACGAAAAAACCTTTATTCACAGTTTGGGTTGTACGGTGGGGGGCTCGGGGGACGCGGCTCCAAGGAGTTATTGGAATGGAACTTTCCATTTTTACCTTTTGTACGTTAGCTAGTTCCTGACTTTACCCTTTCCATTTTCCACCGTGGGGGCTCATTTTTCAGTGGTTTCTCATTGCTCCCTGTTTCCATCGACTTTACCCATGTTTACACCTTGCGAGACGCCGACTTCGCCACTTCGATCTCCTTTTCTTCTGGGATATAGGCTTAAGGTTGTTTGGATGTGGGAATTTGGCTGAGTTTCCATATTTTACTAAATTAAGGAATTGACTTGCGGAAATTGAACGAAACTTGGGTGGGACGGGAGCACCAACTAGGATTGGTGATGTGGTGCACCCGCCCAATCCTGTCCCGCCATCTGTCTCGCATTAATTAGCATTCCCAATTAAAACTCAAAATCATTAATTTCCTGGGTTGCGGCCTGCGGGAGTAGGGAGGCACGACACGGAGTGGTGCCGTGCCGCTTCGCCACAGCTTGCGATTTTAATTGGGTTTTAACTTTTAATTATCCCGTTTACATTGATTAATTTAGATTTGCTAGTTACCATGAATTTTGACAGTCTCTTTGTGATCAAACTTTATAATAAAGTAATGTATTATTCAATCATTACATTAACATGCTCAGCAAAATATACAAATGTTTTTTCATGTCCAAAAATAAAACATACAAATGAGTTTTCCTCAATATCCCTTCTTTCAAAATGTAAAAAAGTAAATTATCCATAATCCAAAGAGTGTCTATATAAAAATAAAAAACTTAAGATGGATGTCAATTGCCTGATCAAGAGTTCTGCAAAAATTTCATATTTATCTCAATATTTATAAGAAGGTTGATTCGATGAAATTTGTAGTGTGCTATAAAATCCTTTGAGTTTGATTTATGATAAGGCATGAAAGGATGATAAATCGTTTGCAAAAACGAATAAGAAGAGCATGAAGGACGAAAATTGGTATTTTTTATTTTGTAATTTTAGTATAGGATATTTATATGTTAGACGAAGCTAACACTATGTTTGAGAAGGGGTGTAAATGGAAGGGGGGTGCAAGTTTGGGGGTAAACACAAGTTCCAAGGTGTTTACCCCCGTTTGGTTATTTTGTAACAATAGGGGGTGCAAAACGTGAGCGTAAATTCACTGTTTCGGCTTACCCCCCAAATTGGGGTGCAAGGGAAGGAAGGGAGGGGGAAGGGGGAGGAGGGGAATTATGAATTTTTAATTAGATTATAATTACATAATAATTAATCTTATTAATTTTTTCTTATATCTATATTAGTGTAGAAGTTGTTTGGGGTTGACCGTTTGACTCAGAGAGCAAGTTGTCAATGTTCGCCTAGTCAAATCGATATCTCTTAGTTGACCCGAATTTGCATTGAAAATTAGAAATAAGAAGCGTTTGTTGAAAAGATAGAGAGGAACAATTTAGTTAACTCGATTTACTTTAATAAGTAGTTAAAACTTACAGATTCGAACGTGTTTGACTAAGTTTGACCATATTCAATTTAAAGTTAGGCACGAGAACCCCTTTAGGATGACCAGTTACGAGTTGGATTTTGAGTTTCGAGGTTGCTCGACCAATGATTATTATTGTTGTTATAAATAATTATATTTGAGCATTATTATATAATAATTATTTTTATTAAAATTATTTTTATTTATTATTTATTATTATTATATATTGAATTTTCATGTTATTATTTTGTGATAATATTTTATAAATTGATAAATCTATTATATAATAATATAATTACTTACTTTTTACTTTATTTGCACCCCCTACTTTTTCATCCAAACAACAATTTACCCCTCCACTTACACCCTCCACCAAGTTGCACCCCCAACAATTTACCTCTCAACTTACACCCCCCTCGAACTTGCACCCCCTTTGTTTCCAAACATAGTGTAAGAGTTTTTGAGTTTTAACTTGTACGTCATAAAAGTCAACAAAAAACTCAACAATACAACCTTATACCTATAAGCCTATAACCTACTAAAAAACCTAAACCCTAAATAAACATATTACAAATTATCCCATAATCAGTCATTTTTCTTCTCCCAGTATGCATCCTTTGGAAATAAGGGGTGGGGTTATTTAATTAATCAATTTGGGACAATTAAAGTTAATAAATCCAATTAAAACCGCAAGCTATGGCAAAGGCCGTGCCGCTCCGTATCGTGTCTCCCTAATCCCGCAACCCACAGGCCACAACGCAGAAAGGAAATTAAGGATTTTGAGTTTTAATTTTAAAGATGCTAATTAATGCAGGACAGATGGCGGGACGGGATTGGGCGGGTGCACCACATCACCAATCCTAGTTGGTGCTCCTGTCCCACCCAAGTTTTTCTCTCTCATTGCTCCCTGTTTCCATCGACTTTACCCATGTTTACACCTTGCGAGACGCCGACTTCGCCACTTCGATCTCCTTTTCTTCTGGGATATAGGCTTAAGGTTGTTTGGATGTGGGAATTTGGCTGAGTTTCCATATTTTACTAAATTAAGGAATTGACTTGCGGAAATTGAACGAAATATTACGTTTGGATAGGATTTATTTTTTGGAAATTTATGGTGTGGAATTTGATGATAATACAAAAATGCCCCTCTTTTGTTTTATATGCATACCCCACCTAAAGGTTGTTGTTGTGTTCTACTAGCTACTAATTGCCTTTATTACATCGGCTTTTCCCTCTTAGTCGACATTCCACTTAAGCGAATCCGATGAAGAGAAGTAGGAGAATCGACGGTGGATGAGATAATTAAGCGAATCCAAAAGTAAGAGACATAATTGATGAAGAAGAAGGGGCTACTTTTGAAAGAAATAGGTTGGAGAAATCGGGGAAGGAATAAAGAAGAAAGGAGAGGAAGGACAAATGGGCACATTTGGAACAAAGAAAATGTAAACGTGGTAATGTCGAATTACTAAGGGGAGGTGTAGTATTCTCAATTACCACGAATGTGGTAATTGAAACCAATTTTCATGGTCCAATTTCCATACCCTTTTTGCTCTCCCAAACGTGGGTTTTTAATCCAATTACCACATAATGCAGTAATTGAGTCCAAATACTGCATAACATTTCCACATCCAAACGACCCTTAAGAGACGAATTAGATTAGGTACCAACTCTACAAGGGTTTATTATTTTAGTTATTAGATTGAGAATATAATCTAAGAGTTAATTGAAACAAAAGGAGAGTTGTTTTGGTCAAATATACAACCCACTAAATCCAACCACTAATAGCGTTTTGCTGATTGTATTACCGGTTTTTGCATTTGATGTAATAATTTATCATTTCAGTACGGATTCATACTAAATTTCTTCGATCGAAATCAATATTAATAGCAATACAATTATTACTAGAAATCAAAATCACTTATAACAATAAAACCACTATTGTCATCATCAGTATAACATGATTGTTAAATCGCCGGTAATTTAAGTAGTAGTAATTTCTCAGTATTAGTTTTTGCATGTCGGAATATTCTATCAGAGTGAGGAGAGATATATTTACAAATTAATTTTCTAACTAAATTTAATTTTCTGAAATATTAAAAAAACCTTCTCGTAACCCACCACCTTCATATTCAACTTAAATGTAAGAAACGATAATTAGAGTGGTTAATATGCTGCTAACTGTCTATGATCTTAGCATATCAAGTCGTCTTGGCAAATGCATCCATGTCAATACAATTGCAAGATCTATTGCATATGTGTTTCCTATTGTCACCTCGTAGTTTCCTATTTTCATTACACCCACATCAATGCAATATACTTGCAATTGCAATTGATTTTTAATATAATAATAAATCATAAATTTCTTAAATAATATAAAAAATAAAAAATTTAGTAATAAAAAATACGATGTGGCATGCAACTCATAATTGCATAGGATGCAAACTTACAAATATGCAATTGTCATCTACATAAATGAACCCCCCAGCCCTCACATAGCTCCGCCCCTGTGTCAGATTGGTGTACTCCTGGAGTATACTATATTTCAAGTACTTCTAGACCATGAGTTAAACCAAGTTTTGGGGTATGGTACTATACCATAAGCTCTAACGGATAAACCACAGGCCCCGATTCTCTAAACTTAAACTCGAGGTTCAATTTAATAGAAAACAATACTTTTTATCTAATGGTGATCACTTGCATTAAAATAAACGGAGAACAGAGGTTCAACGCGGTAATGGCTCAGAAGGGCTGAACCAAAACCAGCAAACAACAAAACAAAATCAGAGAAAGCAACTAAGTGGAGCGAACCACTCCTATTACAAAGCGCAAAACAAAAGGAGAGTGTTACAAACAGGCATGGAAAACACAAGGAAAGCGACGAGCTTCATTTTACTCATTGTTGAAAGTAGCGACGATGATGCTCGATCAGGGGCGGAGCTAGGAATTGACGTTCGGGGGGCCGGGTAAATTAGATTATAATAATAAAATAAAAAATTATCATAATTAGAAATAAAAAAATCATTAGTAATTTTTACAATTTATTTATTATTATCGTAAACAATCGACAAAAATTAATCATACATTTTTATGTGTAACATGTTTCTCGCATTTTTATAACTAGAATATGAATTTCGCCAATATTATCGTTTGAACAATATAAGTAATTCATAATTTAACTAAAAGAATTCTTAAAATACGAATTCAAAAGTTGAAGAATTAATTGACTTACTTTGACTAATAAAAAATTTATGAAAATTAACATGAGAATTTTTTTTATGAAAATTAAATGATTAAATTGCTCATCCAAATTAAAAATTAAGTAATTCATTATATAACCAAAAGAATCTAAAAAATATAAAAGATTAATTGACCTAGTTTGAAATTACAAGACTAGTTAATGCTCTTTGGCCAAATTAAATTAATTAAACGAATTAAATTAAACTAGAATAAAAGCAAACTAAACAAAACTAGCATAATAGCAAAAAATAACAAGACTAGTTAATGCTCTTTGGCCAAATTAAATTAATTAAACTAGAATAAAAGCAAACTAAAAAAAACTAGCATAATGGTCTTTGAGGATTCGAACCCAGACCCCTAGGAGAGAAGGAAGGAAACTTTCCGGTAGACCACTCTCTTATTAACTGCTTCAATATTGTGCACGATCCAATATTATATCAAACTTTAATTTATACGTAATTTATTTTATCTACGATTGGATTTTGTACGAGATATCGGAATTCTGGGGGGGGGGGGGGGGGGGGGGCGAGACACCACCTAGCTCCGCCCCTGTGCTCGATGGTGGTGTTGCTATTGCTAGCACGAGTTTTTCACATGTAGCAATGATCCTATCGTAGGTAGCGCTCATTCCCTTGGTGGTAGAGATCATGCTATCAGTCATAACCATCATGATACGAATGAGGAAGAGGGCATATCTCCTCTCTTGTTCTGCTTGCTCAATTTTTTCCTTCTTGGAGAGTCCTTCCAAGCTTACCATATCAAAACCGAACTCTGATACCTATTGATGCATTGATATCTCAACGCATGGATAGAACGATATTCTACTTTAATTCTACTCTTGGAAACGCATAAGAAACAAACGACAAACCAGAATATTATTCTTCTATGACAATAAAACCTTAATAAAAAAGTACACATATAGGAAATACTAAAAACCCTAATAATAAAATCTAACCTACTCAACACAAAACCCCTGACTCCTTAACTTAGCTGCCAATTAAACAAACTCCTCATCCAACTGTCATTTCACAAACAGTAGTAACCCAATTACTCTAGGGTGCAAATTTACTATTTCTCCTCACCCTCAAATTGGGATGCAAGGAGAGGAGGGAAGAGAGGATTGGGATTATGGATTATTATTTTATGTAATCATATAATAATTTATTATTAATACTTTCATATATTTAATGTAAATGTTGTTTGGGGGAACATCATTTGACTACATGAGAAGTTTATAAGGTTAGTTTTATACCTGGCAAATTACAACCCGACTCGTTGACCCGACTCGAAACCGCCCGGAAACTAGAAATTTTTGTAATCCAAAATCCGAATGACCCGAATCCGATAACCCGTGATTTTTTGGGTCTGGTTGGGTGGGTTAGCGGGTCGACCCGTTAGACCCGTTCCATTTTATATATCACTCCCAAAATTATAAAATCACTCATAAATTGGTGAGATGTTTAAAAAAAATCACATGGATTTGAATGCCATGTTTTGGAGTTTAAGGATTATCAAATATCATGCGTTTTTTGTAGTAGTATTACTCTTGTGATTATTTTTTGACTATTTGCGCAATTCGTATTTCATTTCATCAGCGTGGGAGGATTTGAGAATATGTTAATTGACATGTGTTACGTAAACTATTGTCATGCATATGTGAAAATTTGTGTTCTGTAAGAAAATATGAAGCATGTTTGATATTGTTTCTGAGAACGCTCATAACCCGAAATGACCTGTAACCCGACCCGGAACCAAATGGGTTGGGTCAATATTTGACCCGAAATCAGCCAACCAAACATGACCCGACCCGTAACCGAAGTCCCCAACCCAAAATTACCCAACCCGACCCGATTGCCAGGTCTAGTTCGTTTAGTCAAATCGAAATCTCTTGACTCAAATTTGCAATAATATAAGAGAATAAATACTATTAAACTGAATTTAAATAGCATCACGTTACAATAAATAGTCTAGGCATTATAATTACTAGCAGCAACATAAAATCCAATATAATAATAATAGTAATCCATTTACTTTACTGCTCGGGAATTGGTCCTCGGAATGTTGGGTGGGCATCGGTCTGGTCCAAGGTTGTCAACCTGCAGGTTGATCCGGACCCGGTCGAGCTAGTGGGTCAAGGGTTAATGGGTTAACCGTTTTAGTCCGGTTTGGCCCGGAAATATGGAAAAAGTCATTATATTGTGCTTATCCTCATAAATTATATCAAATCTTATCTAACATATGGGTTATAACATATAATATTACACCAAAATAACATATTGTATATAGATACAACATATAGTGAAAATTCACACACACTTATATAACATAAATATTCAAATGTTCAACTTAGCATTCCAAAAATTGAGCTAGGCGAAAAGAAAAATCGGAAAATAGGCGCATTTCGCAAACCAAAGAAAAAAAATGACATAATTTGACCTCCAACCCGGGACCTTGTAGCGGTCGACCCGGCGGGTGCGTGCGGCCCGTTTTTCTCACCGGGTCAGGGTCAAAGTGGGTCGACCCGCGGGTCAACCCGCGGGTTGACAACCTTGGTATGGTCTGAGGCAAATCGGACCAAACTTAGGAGAACATCGATTCAAAAGTACAAGATATCTCAGGATCAAGGACAGGACCAATAGTGCATTCGGCTCGCTATGGTCCACTTTGGTCAGGTACAAATATCAATTTGGTCCATTTTCTTTATTATTTATAAAATACATTGGACCAAGTATCGGACCATATTATATTTAGAGATGGCAAAAATATCCGTAACCGTCGATATCCGCCCGAACCCAGCCTAATCGGGTAGGGTAAAACCCGAACCCGAAGGACACTTAGTGGGTACGGGTAAAACCCGAACCCGAATATTGCAGGTAATGGGTGGGCATGAGTTTCTCACTATCCAACCCGAACTCGCCCAATTATACACATACATACGTATTTTGTCTAGAAATAATCATTACTTTTCTCTAACATATTTTATATTTAGCATATAAATATAATATTTTCATGAAATTGTGTTGTTTTAATTAATTTTCTTCATTCTAGTGAATTATTGTCATACTTTTCTTCTTACGTAATGTGAGAATACATGTGAAAGTTAACATATTGGTTAGAGTTATTAAGAGAAATCATTACTCATGGATAACCGTGGATACCCGAAACCCGAACGGGTATGAGAGTGGTTTTAATTTTCTACCCGTTTTACATGTGGGTATGGGTAAAACCCGAACTATTTTGGATAGGTAACAGACATGCACTATCCGTCCACGACCCGACCCGACCCATTGCCATCTCTAATTATATTTGATTCGGTATGGCCCGATCCCAGCATCGATTCGGTCCAATATGATCTTGTATTAAGCAACCCATTGCCTAACCCTAGTCGTGTGTGGTGTGGGTGAGGGTGACAGAGTGGAACAAAAAAGAATACACGATCAGCCTGAATAATTAATCCTCTAGTCTTTCGGTACCGCCCCCACGCACAACAGTTTTATCTTTAACGAATCCAATTTGTTTGTCTCCTCTCCATCCTCGCCCTGAAATAAACAACAATCATATGAGTGGAATGAAATTACGAGAGGAGAAACTTTGGGCGGCGCAGGCAACTATGAACCCTTTAATAATTTTATCTAAATCAAATACCACCGCCTACAAGGCGACAACCAGTGATTTATAATAGTTGAAGAGTCAAAATTTTATGTAACGTGATTTATTTTATAAACGGTAGGCTTTATTTATCATACGATCACTCATACAAACATATAACCCTCACACAATGGTGGTATTCTTTTTTTTTTATGTAACGTAAATTGTAAGAAAATATTAGATCATGTATAATGTCTCTATTTTGGAGAATTTTTTTTTATAAACGGTAGGCTTTATTTATCATACGATCACTCATACAAACATACAACCCTCACACAATGGTGGTATTCTTTTTTTTTTTGTTCTAAACATTCGCTTCTAGATCACGTACGATGAACTCATTCATTCTGTACAATTTTTTTTTTTGAACAGATAATTATTTATTGTGTATTAATTAAACAGATGGATGACGTATGTTATTGGTAATTAATGATCAAGATACTACGTAAAATTTATGTATATACCTTATCTGAAAATTTTAATAAACTATTTGATTTCTAACTAAATTATTTACTCAAAGGACCAGCCAGTAATAACGAAAAATGCACATCCATATGGGAAGAAGAAGAAGAAGAAAAAGCTTTGTTATATTTCACAAAAAAAAAACCCCCAAAAAAGAAAGAGGTTATTACAAACAACTTGAGCCTGCTCACTGTTAAAAAAAACGAAATGAAGGCGTCTTAGTTATTATTACGTGACCTATATTAACAGACATGTTCATGTGACCTCGCAACTCTTTTCACATACGCAGTGTCCCGTCTCAAGCAGCCGTCGATGCTGGAAGGCAGCAGAGGAGCTTGGGATTTCCCATACGAGTTCCAACACAGACTAGCCGATGATGGAATTCCTGCGATGGATGGCTTCAGCTGGATATCGGCAACATCAACATCCACGCACGGCACCGTTGTGCTGCAGGCTAGACGGATTGGCTGCGCTGTGTACGTCCCGTAGATCTGGTCGTATTTCACGCCCGATATCGCCACTGCTGCCGTCTGGTTCTCGCAGCGATGCTTGTCGCAGTAAAATTGGTCGATGATGATTGGGTACTTCACATCCGACACTTGAATGTTTGTGAAGCTCACATTTTTCACCGACCCAACTCCTCCCTGTAACCAAACGTACACATCAATCAGCTTATTTATATATATATATGTGTGTGTCCGCGCGCGAGAAGGTAACATATATTCATGATTGTCATCATTTTAATACAAATCGCTCGCTTAAAATGACGATTGAAATACGGAATGCATTAAAACATTGAAAAAATGTGAATGGGTGTTACCTGGGGCGGATCCAAGGGAGTTCGTGACACCCCTAAATTTTGAGAAAATGATTATCCAACCCTCGGTGATAATTTATGTATGGACAAAAAAAATATATAATCGATAGTGGGGGCCGGGATACCCTGAAATTTGAAAAAGATGATTATCATACTCTCATTGTTTAGTTTGCGTATGTGAATATAAGTGATAGTTGAGGTAATTCAAACCTAGGACATTATTATTATTAATAAACATAATTTTCATTACGTTACAACTCGTTTGTTGTTCAAATTTAACACTTCGTAATAGTAAAATGGCACTCCCTATCTATAATTACTTTCAAAATCTAACAATTAAACTAATTTCAAGCTACCCATAAATTGTACGGATTTTATGGTTGTATGACGAGTGTTAAAATAGTCTTTTCAGTTTTGGGTTACATAAAAAGCAAGTTTAGAAATTGATATGTGATCCGTTCGTGAATAATTGTGTAGTAGGATATATAGAGACAATTGTTTTGAGCAACGTAAAGAGCAAGTGTATTCAATAATTATTTCCGAATATGAAAACACATCGTAGAGTTTTTCAACTTGTACGAGTCATGTATTTCTTATTTTATTTTTATTTTTATTTAATATATTTCTTAAAAGAGTACACTCATATATAAAATTTCTAGATCCGCCACCGGGTGTTACCTGCCATGTCTTGATCCTGACACCAGCAAGAGTGTTACGGAGTGAGATGTTATCAACAACGATGTTGGAGACACATGCCGCGCTTTTGTCCTTCCCTAGACTGCCAACACTGAAAGCTGAACTCCGTCAAACCCAGATTCCACCAATGGAAGAATATATAGCTTTATAGGGTTTGGTTTACCTTATCCCGTGCCCTGGGCTGCAATTGATGTGGTGAAGGTGGACATTGGAGCAGCCACTTTGAATGGAAACACAGTCATCGCCTGTAAACATTCACAAAAGTGAAGAGGAATCTCAAACTAGACTTCAAAAATGCTAAGTAACCTGTTAGACTTCAACTTTATGTAAGCTAGGATATATAAATAAAAAAGCAAATGTTTCTTTTTGGTGTTGCTTTTTGTTCATGCATGCTTGTCTCAAAAGTTAGTTTATTAGTGACAGTTATATATATATATGAACCAACCAACACATATTTGTTCTTTTTCTTTTATTTCCTGTTAGGTCCGGAAGTTGCCAACGTGCAGCCCACCACCATCTACGGCCTAACCGAATGCAGGAATCGGCTTAGTGCCACCAATTGCACCATGACGAGCGACTTACCACATCCAATGTTGGAATGGTGAATTTCGACATCTCGTGTGCTCTGAAGGTGAATCCCATCGGTGTTTGGGCTGTTTTCTGGGGAAGAGATGGTGATGTTGTCAACTTTGATCCCACCAGAGTAATCGAATTTCAGATGGCACTGAGGACTGTTCACGATCCTGATGTCGCGCACCGTCACGCCATGGCTGGAATAGAATCTCAAAGCCTATATATATACACACCAAAGAAGGAACACAAAAATTGGTGCAATTTTAGTTAACGTATTGCTTCGGTACTGCACCATATGTCTAATCTGTTGAGTCCCAGAAAAATCCCCCTTACCGTTGGTTTCAGGTCTGGAATATATTTGGACATCTTCTGTGGAAATCAACGACAGACAGACGAAACAAAGTTGTTTAAGTTACGAAAATTTGACCAACAAGTAGGAGAAATTTTACAATGCTATATAGTATTGGTGCTATAGATTTTTGTCTTTATAGTAAAACTTAAAATTGTACATTTAACGTTATGGTACAACTTCAGATTGTACCTATACTTTTGGTACAAATTCTTTTATGGTACAACTTGAACTTGTACCTTTATGTGATGACACAACTTCAAGTTGTAAAATTGTACCATAACATAACGATACAAATTGCTTTATGGTACAACCTAAACTTATACATTTAATGTTATGGTACAACTTTAAGTTGTACATTAAAGCACCAATGCTATATAGCACAGTAGAAGTGCTCGTAGGAGAAATTTTAAGCGAGATGAGAAACGAGACCTGAACGTAGTAGAGGGAGGAAGGAGTCCACCACTGGGAGCCTTGTCCGTCAACCGTTCCACTGCCTTGAATGGTGAAATTCTGGACCCATTTGAAGTTGAGCCATTGGAACATGCTTGATTTCGGCCAATCCCCAACTCTCGAAGGAGCCAGCAGAGTTCCGTCTATCTGAAGAGTGAGCTCACCCTTGCACGGACCTTGCAGATTTACGGGCCTCATCAGAAACCTGAACCCTGATGGGATTTTCACTGTAGCCCCAGGGAGCTGGCAAGCAGCTTTCCATGCACCCACAAGCGCCTGCTTTTTGGGGGGAATACATATAGGACGACGCGAATTTTTGTGAGTACACCGTAGAAGTCATATTCTGTCGCATTCAAATTCATTAATTACACGTACCTGGGAATCATCAGTAACACCATCACCTCTAGCACCAAAGGACACAACGTTGTAAGTGGTGGAATCCGTTGCTGAGTCTGCAGGCGGATTGAAGCCTCCACTGTCACTTCCTTTTCTGTGGTTGGAGTGTTTGTTAGTGTGAGGCCTGTTATGGGTGTTCTTGTAGCTGTGGTGGTGCTTTCTTGCCTCAACTGAAGTTGTGGCAATTAGCACGCTGAAAAGGAGTGGTGCTATGAGAAAGACAGAAAACAAAGGCAAAGGCCAAGACCAGCTTCTCCTATTCCTCTCCATTATCTTATACAACTATGTCTTGGAGGAGATCGAACTGAGAATATTTATCTTATATAGACACTAGTGCATGTAATGTGTAAGGTGGCAGGAATGACATTCAACACCGCCCAAAAAGAATGCCAGAAGAATATGTATATATAACACTTATTGGTCCACAGTCTGTCTATTCCTTGTAACTTTATGTTATCAAAGAAAAACTATTTAGGATAAACATAAATTCTAGTGGCCTTCCAACTGGGGGAATCCCACTATTGTGAGCATGCACCAACATAGAGCACTGAACTTGGTTTTGTACCACCACCAATTATCACTGATTACCACACTGGTACCACTCCTATCCACCTTCGTTTTAACGCAAAAAACTAAAAAAAATTTCACAAAAGGAACATGTTCATTATGATGTATGAATTTATGTGGGGAGGGGGGATTTCAGGACCAAATATACCACTTTGGTATATTGTGATCATGAAATGTGATTAGTATACTCATACCATCATAGTACACTTTCATACCACCATGATATAATCTTATATATTGTCAAGTTATGCCACCATGGTAAAGAGTGATGATATATGTATTGGTCTTTTATTCCAAAATATTTTAAAGTGAATTTAATTTTGAAGAGCCTGATTATTATGATTTTATAATGCAAATGAAATTAATATAGCCTATGAAATTAAATTGGTAAAAAGTTATGCATGATTGATAACCAATCAGATTACTGACCAGGTCCACTCTCATGTTATATAAAGTGCGTGCTTTTTTTATAGTGTTTTTACACTGAAAACTATTAGTTGTAAAAAGTTATACTTCTTATGACCAACATACATATATTCCATGTTAGGTTGTAATACAAAACCTCCTATTATGTAGTACTACAAACCCTAGTTGAGATTGAAGAGGGTGTGAACTAATGGCGCATAACAACAAATTGGAGCTATTATGACACAACAATTTTGTCATAATACATCATAAAGTTGTCATTTTACATATAATTTGACAATATATGTTTGCCACAATGTTCGTCGTAATAGCAACATCGTCGTAGGTCTAACATGAAAAAAATTTGGACTGATGTCAAAAAATCGTAACCGAGAAGGTGACAAACCAAGTTTATCAAAAACTACAAACTAATATGAAAAAACATTTTGTCATAGTAATATGACAAATTTGTCACGATTTAAAGGTGTTCATCACAAGATGTTAGGTTTGATTACAATTGAATATTAGTATTCAACACTCCTATATTTTATACATTTTCACCTTCTATCAATGCATCTTTATTACATTATGTCACGTTATAGGTAGAAATCATGACTACATGCTCAATTTGCTTTTAATAGACTTAGGATGTGTTTTGTATCATTTTATGCCTTTTTGTATTCTTTTGTGTTTTCAAGGTCAAACACATTCTAGGATTACTTGGATCAATAAATGGATCAAATTGGAGGATCAGGAGGGACAATTACTATCAAGATCAGGGTGTCTCGTCCATTAATTTGAGCCAAATCAAGGGAAAGCCTTCAAGAAGTTTCAGAGAAGCCCATGAGGAGTCCACTAGAGAAATTTCAACAAAAAACTACAAGAAAACCCACAACGGCCCTATGATGGTGGTAGCCGCCGCTAAGCGAGACTAATCGGTTCAATCCGTGCATATTATTGTCAATGGTTAGCACGTGTAAACAACTGCCCCATCCTAAGCCAAGTTTAACTTTAGATGGCATTGTCGTATAGTGGTGATCAATGTCGTATTTTACTCGGGTCCCGGTACCCTAGCCTACTTCCCACCTTGTTGCTAATTGGTTAATTGATTTTGGAGGTTTGAGTGGAGCACTTGAGGAGATAACTAGACTAGAGATTGATCAAAGCTAAAAGTAGGTACTTCGGGGAACTAATCCTCCTCCTAGCATAGGGTTACTATGCATGCATAAATACTTAGAGTTATCGAATGTGGTGAGTGAGCTCTTTTCCGTGGGCTTTCTTGGTTATCCAGACACCTCCTCTAAACCCATATATAGTCACCTCGATCTAGGCTATCATATTTGGGGCACTAAGCTCATGGCTCATTTCAATGGACACTATCCACCGTCCACATCCCGGATTCTATCTAGGAAGGCTAACCTACGGCAGGGGTTCGGTCACCTCGACCACCATAGGTCCCTATTCATGCATTTATCTCGATTTGCTTGATGGCGCATACCCGTCTAACCCTAGAACTCCATACCCAACGTAGAAGCATAAAGTAGGCTAATAAAGAAGATTAGGGTGACTTACCCAAACACAATCAAGGATAGAATAGCAATATAATCAACTAGATAAACACATTCATTCATTCAAACCCTAAAATATTCATACATACATAATAACCCCTAAAACTAGGGTTTGGGGTTTAGAACCCCTAGTACCTTATAGCACTACTCCATAAATGAGAGAAAAAGAAACATAAAAGAAATTGAAGAATGATGGGATTGGGCAGGGCCAGACCAGGACCGTGGTCCACCACCAACCCAATTGCAGTTCAAGGAGCGGGCGGGGTCGTCTAGGCTCCGTGCACGGGCTTCGTCGATGGAGCGAGTGGGTTGAACGGAAGATGGGGCCACGGAGCTGGACCGATTGCGACAGGTGGGCCTGGAGGACCAGGCGGATCGGGAGGCCCAAGCGAGATGGATTGGCCGTGTGGGCCAGATAAGGCAGGAGGCCCAGGCGGGCCATGATGGTCGGCCAGGCCGGACAGTGGCGCTGGCTTAGGTGGGAGCGGGCCGTGGCCACCGGGTCGAGAGGAGGAGCGGGCCTGGTGAACCTTCACCGCCACACAGGTTCAGTTAGGGTCGGACCGACGACCAATTTGGGCCATTTCGTCAGAAACTAGCTCAATTGGAATTTCCGAAGTAAAATGGAGGCGAGGACTCGTCCGGTTGGTTCGCGCGGGTGGAACAATTTTTGAAATTCCAGGAGACGCTAGAGGAGCATAAGGTGCTACTCGCATCTTATCATTTGGAGGAAGATGCCAACCAGTGGTGGCAATGGATGGAGCGCACATACATTATAACTGGGATGGCGATGACGTGGGTCCGATTCCGCCAGGAGCTATGGGCTAGGTTTGGTCCGGCGGAGAGCACTTCGAGTCATGAAGCTCTCGCTAAGATCAAGCAAACAGGGTCCTTATGCGATTATCTCTTAGATTTTGAGAGATTGGACAATCAATGTTATGGCTGGACCGAGGAAGTGTTAGTGGGCTCATTCATTGGTGGGCTCAAATCGAAAAATCTCCGACTCAATCCGCATGTTCAAACCGGAGACCGTGAGAGAGGCGATCGGACCCGCCAGGGTGAAGAACGAGGAGTTGGGGAAGCATCATGGGATGCCACGAAATCCGCCACGAGCGTCGGAGGAGACGATGACCGAGGTGGCACCGACACAATCTCGAGCACCACCCCCACGCGTCCTTAATGCACGGAGAATTTCACCGGAGGAAGTATCACATCGTCAAGCTTAAGGGCTCTATTTCCACTGCGAAGACCGATTCACGATTGGCCATCGTTGTGCCAATAAGAACGTGCTACTCATAATTGAGCCATGCACCGAGGATGAGGAAGGTCAATTCATCCACGATGAAGACCAATATTGAGGGCAAGGTTGTGCTAAGGGGGGAGGATTGTTACAAGAATTGGGTCATCATAGCAATTGGGCTAATTATCTGGGCCTAGTTATTCTTATTGTATTAGTAGTCTTATTATTATTGTCTTTATTAATAGTTTTCTTGTCTAAGTAGGATTTGGTTATTGTTGGTTAGTTCCTTGTAGGAATAGGAGTCATGTTCTAGATAGGAAAAGGTAGAGGCTTTGATGCCTATAAATATGTACTAGTTCATTCGTTTAATGTCATGAGAAGATTGGAACTCAATTGAGTTTATTGCTTTGTGTTTCTTCGGAGAAATGTACTCAAAATCCCGATTTTAATCTTAGAATCTTACGATTTTACGATCTTACCAATGGGCTCCGATCATGATTTTACTACAAAATCTTTGAACCTTAAAATCCTATAAAATTCCGATTTAAAACTCTAAAATCCTTAAAATCTATGATTTTTTTTATGATTTTTGTACGACTTCAAGGTTCATGTCAAGTGGAGCAAAGTTAGGGCGGTCAGGTTGGGTTATTCCCATGAACCGGGTCAAGTCTACTTCCCCCAACCCACATAATGAACAACACAATTCTAACCTGATAGACGACCCTCAATTTATTTTTGTTCTCTTCCTCATATCTTCCCCTTCCGCACGCCGAACACCCAACTCCTTCCATCAACGATTTCTTGCACCCACAAAATTAGCTCGTAGTTTGTTCGCACCACCCTCACAATTATCCCAATCTCCATTCCATCTGCAAGCTTTTGTTAATCTCTCAATCATTCAGCACCACTATCCCCGACCTTTTATCGATTAGGCCGGAATGCATAAATCAATGAGTTATCTTTACCAGATGATGTCGATCAAGAAAATATGAGTAATGGTGAAAGTATGTCAAGTGATCCTAAAAATAATGATATCATTCCTCAAGCAAATAGACAAATATTCTCCAAGGATGAGCGAGGGTAAGGATCATGATGTCTGAGGGATGTTAATGTTGCTTATGTGATTTTCTACTCTTAAATATTAACTAAATTAAGTGATTTCTATGAGATTTCAGGTTGCTTATTTGTGTGTTTATGTTATGTAGAAGAATAAATCTATGGATTAGTTGTGTTTATTTAACAGATAAAGTTATCTTGGGAAGTAATTATGTTATATGGGGTTGACTGTTATTCAGGATATGCATTGTTATTACTATATGGTGTTTTAAGTAATTATTTTAACATGAACCTTAAAATCTTACGATTTTACGATTTTAATCTGTGATTTTGATTTTACCTTAGTTTTCAATTTTAAGTAAAATTACAATTTTGATTGCATTGGCTGTAAGGTAATTTGGGGTGGATCTCGCCAGCAAAGAGGTCCTCTACTCGAGAGAGTTCGAGAAATGTATCCAAAGGTTCGCGTGCGT